AAGCAGTTGAGGCACTTGCCCTTGTACAGTCGAAGCGCGTTGCGGCGCTCTTCAGCCGAGACCAAGGGGGTGAACAATTGCGGATCATTCTTGGTTAGAGCCATCTCACTAGCAACGTTGTATACCTCTTGGAAGTGTCCTTGCAACGGCCAGTCGCTGTAGTGCAACAGAGAAGGGTCCCGATCATCATTAGGTAGAGGGTCAACACTCATCACGGCGGCCGAAGAACCTTGGCTCCACGAAGGGGTCACCGTCGAACGCAACGCCGAAGAAGCTACAGCACGCGAAACAGCAGACGAACTCCTAGCATTCGTGGAAGATACCGAAAAGAAATCATCTCCATGCACCGCCGGCGTGTGCGCGAACGCACGCTTGTCCAACACATCCCACATATCATCCAGACACGAAGGCATGTCGCCCAAAAGGGGCTTCTATGGAGAGCTGCTCATCCTTGTACACCTGCCCAGACACTACCGGAAGCTGCTTCAACACGGGGTCTCGAACAGCTATCTGCACTTGCGCATCCGAAGGCTTGAACGCGTGGTTTATAGCGACGAATGTATTCTCCGTAAGTCTCGCCGTTGGATACGCCAAACCTGCGAAGACAATCAATCCCCGAGCTCTTGTCTTGAGTGTCCCAGGCAGCCGCCAATTTCTGGATGAAGAAGGCGTACGTCGAGTACCCTGCCGGTTCCTTGCGCAGATGGTTTCCTACCTGTAGGAAGGTGGCATCAAGAAATTCCAAAGTGGCACGGTTGGTGGTTTGGCCTTCAACGACAGCAGCGGACACGTTTGCGCAACAACGGAGCCATCCGGTGACCCAGGTGGAGGAATTGAAAGTCTGCTTGCGCTTGACGTCGCTTTTGTTGAGGATCTCTGTGACCACACCCTTGCAGCTAGGCGAAGCGAGCAAATTCATCAGGATCAGGACCGAGGGGCAAGCGTGTGATACTATCAAGTTGTTCCGGCTTCAGCTTGTCCATCTTGTCTTGAATGCGGATGGTGTCGGCCTCCGTTGCAGCGGCGTCCGCAGCGTCCAGAGCCTCCTGCCTCGCTCTTGCTTCTGTGGAAGACAAGGGCAAACCAGCATCGTCCTGTGGCAACGGTGATGCCGCTTGACCCGGTGGCTCGATGATGTGGCCGGTTGCAGAGTTAGGATCAATCAGAAAAGACGCAAGCTGGAGGGCGGGGGGCGATACCACCAAAGGCTGTTGCAACAGGGCTGGGGCTGTCGACGCTGACGGTGCCACCGCAGGCCCGACCGGTACTGTCGCCGACCTCGCGGCTGATGACGATGATCCTGGCGTGGTCCTGGCAGCGGTTTCGGCACGAACATCGCGCCCCACAGGAGCTCCCGAAAAGCTCGAAGCGTGGTCTTGCATCGGTGTCGGATACGTTGGTGGGGAAGAAGATGGGGCAAGTGGTGGCACGCTAGGAGCGTGGGGGGGGCACAGGAGGTTGTACATTCGCGTCGGCAGCAGCATCCACTACTTGATTTGCTCGCAGGAGAGTGAGTACTTGTTCCAACAGCATTTCAGTACGGGAAGCCGAAGTCGAGGCGTGTGAGGCAGCATGGCGTGGTGACTCGACACGTTCGTCCAAAGGCAAGGAAGATGTGGGATGATCCATAACGGCATGGGCAGGGGCATGGCTTTTCACAGCGGCTGAATGTTCACGAAGTTGCATGTTGGCAAGTTTGAAAGCCAAAGAAGACCTGGTCGGTTGGCCTACATCAGCGGGAGGGCGTAGAAAAAGCGGTCAAAAACAGAGAGAACCGTCTTCTGAAGCATCCTCGTTTCCCCCAACAACCCAAAGCTACGAAAATCACCCCGATCATACATCACTTGCCTGTTACCGTGGTCTGACCTCCGTCCCCCTTTTCCGCCGCGACTGCTGTCAGTGCTGGTCGCCCTGCTGTTGCCCCCGCTCCGGTTCTGGCTCCGACTGCCGCTACGCCTAGACGGAGGCGTGCTTGTCCCACGACTGTCTCCGCTCCGGCTGCGCCCACGTCTAGACGAAGGATTGGTGCGCTGTTGACGTTCTGCGCTCCGACTCCTGCTCCGGCGATGGCGACTCGCCGGCGAAGACCTGGTAGGCTGGTTCCCCACGGCTCGCCCTCGCCTGTTACTTCCGACGCCGCGCCCTCGCGAAGACTGGGTGGGGCGGCGGTGGTCGTCCGTCCCGCTCTTGGCCGTCGAATCTCGGTCACCCCAACGGTTCTTCCAGCTCTTGGACACAGGAGCCGCCGACCAACTGAAGTCCTTGTCCTCTCCAGAACCATGTGCAGGGCGTGAAGAGGCCTGCCGGGGGGCTTGCAGATCGTGCTTAAAGTCGTTGTTCGAGGCAGCACGAGCAAGTGGCAGCTGGAGTCCTCCATCTTGTGTCACCACCGACGTTCCTTGAAGACCTCTATGAAAGGTGGCACGACGGAGAGCGAAACAAAAGCTGGAACATGGATTGCCTCCAAGAAGGCGGAAGTTTCGCGATGTTGTTGCGGTTGGGGCATTGTGCACGTACGAGTTGTCTTATGCAAGCCCATGCAAAAAGGGCTGCCAATTTGTCCTCATCGTGGAACGTTGTATCTTCTGCAGGCATCTCCAGCGGGCGGGACAGGAACGCTGTATCTCCAACGTGGAACTCGTACACCGTGGTTGCAGACGCAAACGATGCTCCGTCTTCAGCACCGGCCGGAAGACCCAACGTCACCGAAAACTCCGGAGTCGCTGTCCTCTCCCGCTCCTTCTCGTTCGTCGGGGAAGCCGCCACCTCCCGCTCCTTCTCGTGCGG